CGCCTTATTATACCTTAAACCTTATTACTTCGAATACATATTTCCACCCACCCCAATGCAGTGTATTTACCACCCACATACATTACTTACACATTCGCGATGGCTCCAACCATCTTTGGATTTTTCGACTCGATTTCCCCTCGTCGGTGTTTGGGATCGGAAGGGCTTACTTGGAAAATGCGTCTAGGATAAATGTGACACAATTTGGCCAAGCGCCTGCTATGTCTTATTTTTTTACTATTTACACCAACCTTCATCAACCTTTTTTTTTTACTTACGTAAAGATCCCTTGACAGTTGGAAATCGAAAATAAGAGTAGGCTAATGTCGCTGTCCTGACAAAATTTCCCTCATTGCACACTGCATGGCCTTTGCCCATCCTCAGTAGCCCATACAGGTGCAGAAAAGTAGGACGTAAAATTGTATTTTATTTCATTTTTTTTCTACGGATTTCTTATACAAACATATGATGCTAAATTTCATAGCAACACTAACAGGGCCTTTTGGGATGTGTGCTAATTTGGTGTAAACAAAATGGCGGAATTTCTACTTTCGTTTCATTGCAAGAAATTCAATTTATATTAACACGGTCTTGTCTGAACCTGACAAAATCCATTACAAATTACTCAGAGTCGACTAATATGTCACTGAAAGAAACAATTATATCAAAAAGGCTGACATTTCATGAATTTTTAGAGATTTTTCTGCCACCCGGATGACGAATAGTCAAATTAATGGACGTGGACTATTCGCCACCCGGGTGACGAATATCCACGGCCGAAAATAAAAGTAAACATTTGCAATGTTCCAGATGTTGAAATGCTGATTGATTCAGGTGCAAGTTGTAATGTTTTAGGAAGATCCGAATGGGAAAAACTCAAGAAGAACAAGGTGAAGTGTACTAGTAGATTAACTAAGAAAAAACTTTATCCATTTGGCAGTGATAAACCATTGACTTTGAGAGGAATATTTCAATGCAATTTTGACTATTGGAAATAAATCAATAGCAGCTGATGTGGTTGTTATTGAAGGTGAAGGAACTTCATTATTAGGAAGAGACTCTGCTATGAAATTAGGAGTGTTACAAATAAACTTGGTAAATTCAGTCCAGGAGAAACCATTTGAAATAAATGACATTTGTACTAAATACAAACCGTGTTTTGAAGGTTTAGGAAAACTGAAAGATTTTCAATTAGAAATTCCTATTGACAATTCAGTGAAACCAGTTACACAACAATTGAGACGTGAAGGATTTAATTTGAGACCAAAACTAGAAAAGAAACTTAATGAACTTGAAAACTTAGATGTAATTGAAAAAGTTAAAGGACCAACACCTTGTGTTGTAGTACCAAAAGATAATGGTGATATAAGACTTTGTATAGATATGAGACAGGCTAATAGTGCTATTGTGAGAGAACGACACCCTATACCAACTGTTGATGAGGTATTACATGATTTAGTTTTATTGAAACAGAAACCTGAAAACAAATTAATGCCAAATTTCGAAACAAACCCATATCGTGTTATTTCTAAATATGGAAATGCTGTCACTGTTGAAAATAATAATGGTGTGCGTTATAAAAGAAATTCAACACATTTTGATAATAATGTGAATCATAATGTGAATCGTGAAAATCAAAATATTGTGCAAAATTGTGATAATCAAAATAGAAATGTTAGTGAAAATTATAAAAGTGCTAATGTGAAATCTAGTCAAAAGTGTAAAACACCAAATAAAACTGTGTCTAATAAAATTACAAAGGAAACAAATAGCGTATCACAAACAACAAATTCTAACATTGGAAATAATAACTCAACTGATCAAAATTCAGAAATTCAAATAAACACTAGACCAACTAGACTTAAAAGAATGCCAGATAGATATACAGACTATAAGATGGATAAATAATTTGTATTTGTTTATTTTGCGTAATGTGTATCTGTGAGAATGTTTTCATATTTTTGTAAAATGTTAATGTTTCCAAAATAAGGATTTATAATTTATTTTAGTTGTGAATATTATTTTAGAAGTTTTAAAGTATGACAATTGACAGGTCAAGGTTAAGGTTAAAGTGACTGTGTATGCAAAAGATTCTATTTAGAGGAAAACAATAAGCTTGTTTATAATAGTGTATTTTCATTTATATATTTTGTTACAAGACATAATGATTGCAGAAGGTTAAAATTTAAATTTTAATAATTAAAAGCAATACAGTACTTTTACAGTAAAAAGGGAGGGATTGTAGTGTCTAGCATATCTATTTATAGATACATTATTTAGATGTTTACGGTAAATGCATTTTGCCTATGATTACGTCATTATTAATACCCCTCTACTATGTATTGAATTCCCGCCATTGTAGTTCTGATTGTAAGATTGATAATAAAGCATGTATGATTAAATTCGGAGCCTATCAATTCTCTTCTGGGTTAAATCCGCAAGTGGGGAATACAACAATTATCATATTTAACAAATCCTGTTATTATTTTTGCTGATAAAGGTGAGTTTTGAAGTACACAAATTTACACCTCTTAAAGAATATAAAAAACCTATAAAGTATATGCAAAGCATTGTTTTTTGCAATAAACAGAAGGCTTAGTTTAGTCCAGACACAAGTTTTCTAGATTTTAGTATAAATTTTTCATATATTTTCTATTTTACAGCCATGAATGAATAAATTATTTTTTGAACTTTATAGGAGATAAAATAGTAAAAGTGTATGATTCCCTTGTAAAGGTATGTAGAGAAGCAGAATTACAATCACCTGAGTTAGTTACATATACAAATTTACGAAAATACATGGCTACTGTTACCCAGGTTTGTATTCTCCTTTTGAAACTTCCACTTTTTTAGGCGTCATTTAATTTTCCAAGAAACCTGACAAAAAAAAATATGTTGCCCAATTTTGATACGATGGCAGTGGTTGATGAGGACAGCAGGTACTGGGTTTTACTTTCATAAATGTACATGATATATATAGTTTTAGCGTCAAACTACATTATGCTTGTGAATGTGATCTCATTGTGGGACTCTGCTACCGCAAAGTCCCAGTTTGTTATCATATTGTCAATACTTTTTTTTTTGTGGGACTTTGCTACAGTAAACCTTCTGCAGTGGCAACGTTTAAAATGAATATAAATTGGAACATTTTTGCATAACCATAAGTGCCACAGTGCAACATATGCAAAAACTGGTAAATTGGCTCTAGAAGGCGCATTTTTGCATCGATTTTCTTCGGGTTTTCAGTTTTAAAATCTGGCTGGAATTTCTGATCAGATAGAACTTAAAAAATTACGAAATTCGAAAATTTGTCGCAAACTTTTTTCGATTGAATTTTGCAATTTTTTTGCAACTTTTTTGTTTTTGCATCGATTGATCTGAAATTTAAAATGCAAAGAGACATCACTAAAGTAAATGATATGATACAGTTAGACTTTTGACGCCACTTCCGGTTTTAAAGTTGGAATCAATTGAAAGTACAATCTACTTCCGGTCGAATAGCTTCCGGTGTATATTAAATTGGCCAACGGAATTTATGCAGGAAGTAAATGCTAATACAAAAAAACGAAGAAAATAAAATTCAGACCGGAAGTGAAACTTTGGCCGCCATCTTGATTTTCTTACTTTTCTTAAAATCGAAATAAGTCCTTAGGAATAAACTAAATCTGTGTAATTTTGGTGCCGATGTAATCTGTTGTCTAATGTCTACAAAAAGTTGCGAGCGGATTTTTTAATTTTGCTTTTGCATTTTTGCAACTTCCGGTTGAATTTTTTCAAAGTTTGAAAGCTTATTTCTTGTGACCTTGACCTCTCATTACGTTGACCTTTGATAGGACAAAGGTCAATGTCCTTGGCTGTCAGATGATGCTTTGACATTTGACCTCCGACGCCTACTTCCGGTTTTATAGCTGTTCAAAAACAGCCAAATTCGCAACTTTGGGCTGCTCTTACACGTGACCTAATTAACTTAGAGGGTTATTTTTTCGAATTCTTATAGAGCTCTTCGAGATCTCTCCATTGATATATCACAAATGGTTTTTATTGCATATTTGCTATACCGATTTTTTGTAACTTCAACTTTTTTTTGCCGTGTTTTCACGATTTTGAAATGTATGTTTGCATATCTCATGAACTATCGAATGGAAAAGCTTAAAATTTTCAATGTGACTAGTCACCTTAGATATCAATCAAAATATGACTCAAAAAAACTCTATGTGGGCGTGGCACATCCGGGTCTGGTTTTGCCCAGAATGTTTGAAAAAATTAGTTATTTTAATCTTTTAGTTCAAAAAAGGAACAGGTTTTGTAATTTCTATATTTTCATTTTTTTACTTTTCGCCATTTTGAAACGTATGTTTGGATATCTCGTGAACTTTGTTTACTGTGGTCATAGAAATATGTAATTATTTCTCTTTTCAATAGTTTTTTTTATTAGAATTGCTGTCATGCTATGTATTTATAGATCTGTGATATGTAACGTATGTTTGCATATCTCGTGAACTTTGAATGCAAAAGTTTCAAATTTTCATTTTATTAGCCAAATTTGATATCAATCAATGACAAAAAAATTAGATATGGGCGTGGAATATCCGGGTCCGCGGTCATAGAAATATGTAGTTATTTCCCTTTTCAATAGTTTTTTAAATTATTAGAATTGCAGTCATGCTATGTATATATATATCTGTGATATGTTAATATATATATTAATGTTGTTAATTGTTGTAAATGTATATTTCAGGTTTTTTTTATTATGTTTAATAAAAGCATGTGGAATCTTTATCTTGTGAATTCATACACCGAGAAGTACAAATATCTAGTAAAAAGTACACTGGAGGCATGTGTAAGCGGTTCCCCGTCCAATAAAACCGCAAAAGTAAAGCAGTAGCCTTTCACAAACAAATAAACGACTTTGTTTACATGTTCCCTCTATGCCATTGGACACCTTCTCTTATTTTATTTTCATAGACCCTATTTTTCAACATTGACCCTATTTTATTATTATTGAGTGGGCGTCAAGGGCCTGTGATTCAATGGACACTTTGTGTTGTCCGTGACTGAAGGTGTAGGCAACATCTTTATCACCCTTGTCGCTTTTTCATGAATGCATCAGTGTGATATTTTTTATTCAAGTTTTTCAAAAAAATTACATATAATAAGTTGTTTCCATACATACATACATACATCAATAAATATGTTCTTAATTAATATTTGAGTTCACAGCTTTCTTTATGCCATTATTGAGCTAATGATAGCAAATAACATTCTGCAGTGTGCAATCAAGATAAAAAGTTAGGACAAATGTTTTCCAGTTCTAAATTTTTTATATTAATAGATCTATGAATAGTCAGCAACTGTGTAACATTCCCGTCGTACAATTCATTGATATCTTTTCGAGCGTAATATAGTATCATAAATAATTTTAAAAATTTGAACTACTAATAGGCACCAAACGTGTAACATTTCAGTTTAACAGTCCAATTTATGTAAAATCATTGTAATAGATATGTTATCTGCATGTAATAAATATTGTTTAAATCAACATTCCAGTTTTACATGGCTTGAAGTCACTAATAATATTAATATATCCACATTAACAATTCTACATATTATGGTGAACAAACATGAATCAATCATAACAAGCAATGAAGTTATTGAATCAGTTGAATAAAAGCATTTGTGTAATAAAGTAAAAGTATTGAAAGTATAGTTCGTCATTAACGATACTGTAAAACCATTTAAAATATTTCTTATAATAAAGCCAAGTAAGGTAAGCAAGAGTGTTCTTGCAAATAATTCAAATATTATTTTATTATATAATATTGTTACATTTTTTACCTTGTAGCCTGTCCTACATCTGATAATCTTTTTTTTGGAAAAGTGCAATAAGGTGCGCAACAAAGGAAGACTAACCAATATTAACAATATGGTATCTTCTTATCCTATAGAGTTCCTCTTTTTGTAAATGTTTTGGTTTGTCATGGTTTAAGGAAGTACAAAATGAAACACTAAACTAACAATTATACAATAACTGTCATTGACCTTGGCTATCTCCTGATACTTTCATTTGGTCTGTCTACTTCCGTTATAACAATCTTCCAAAGAATTCTTCTCAACTTTAGACTTCTCTTGCGCGTGATGTAATTATCTGTGCCACGTGTGGCTCTAGTTCTCTTTGGTGCTGCCTTATTGAAAGTACATTTTCCTTTTTGTTTTAATCTTGTGTAGGTATTGGATTTAAAGAAAAATGAAATGGAGTGGGTTTTGAATCATCTTGGGCACTCGATGGAAGTTCATAAAATCCATTATAGGTATGAAATTTTCCTCTTGCAAAAATAACACAATGCAAGAAATTTGAAAGACATGAGTGTGTCTAATATATAGTTGGGGAGCCACGATGGCTTATTTGGTTAGAGGCTTGCTCACTTCTGAATGTAAAGTGATTTCCTTTTCAGATTTTTCAACAAGCTTTTTCCCTGTCAGTGACATAGATAAAATGTTTAAAATGTGACAATAAAACAAGGCCCCTTGTGCTTCATGCTGTGCATGTTAATGATCCCTCAACTGTTGGAAACCTAAAAGGAGAAGGCAAAAATCCTCACATTACATCTTGCATGGCATTGCCCGTCTTCATTAGACCACATGTGTAGACAAGTAGGATATAAGACTTTCATTTAGTTTTTTTATTCGGAATTGTTTTTATACTTTTGCTCTAAATTGATTTTCAGAATTGAAATGGTGAATTGAAAAACTTCAAGAACACTCATACTTTTATTTTAGGCATACTAGTGATGTCATTGAAAGGGCAAAGGTGGCTAAACTTCTCCTTATGCAAGACAACGATAAAATAGGGGCTTTTCAACACATGTCTTTAAATGAAATTCAGATGGAAGGTATTTAATCATTTATGCTTCAAATGAAAACATTAAATTAAAAGCTAATGAAATATTCAAAGGGGATAAGTTTGACCGTTAGTAATTATTGGGTTGCAACTCGCTGACAAAGGTCCTTTATTGTAGCAAAACTAGATTTATCTGTGGGTTGCACCACAGTCTTAAGACTATAGTCAGCCCACATTAACGGATTTCAAAAGTTAATTAATTCATTCATTAGTAGTAAAAAAAGCTATATGGTTGTATATTGTTGTCCACTGTTTTAATCTGATTTTTTAGATCTGGTACAAGTTGGAATTTGAAGATTCTTTGCACGATTAAAGCAATTCTTGACCTTATTCTGAGCTTTCATCTGATCTTAATGGAATTTGGTTTGATCATATATATTATTATATTAGACTAGTTCAAATTGCATGTAGATGACTTGTGATAAACAGTTTTTAAGATATGAGTATTAATAGTTTTAATACATTTTTAATTTGTTCAGTAACGGTATATACATATATATTCGTTTTGTGTTTAGAGCTATTTTTGTACACAGCTTATGTGAGTCAATGATTTTTCGTTTCTTGTTGAATGTTATAAATTTGTTCATTACCAGCATCGTTGAAAAAAATTTATTTCTTTAAGAAAGTTTGCATTTCAAACGCGAATTACTAACTTAATTTTACTTGACAGTCTAATTAAAGAATGGCAGGAGTGAAAGGGAGACCGAAGAGGACAACGTCAGGAAAATCTAAGGCAATGGACGATTTT